AGCATTAATTAAATTAATTGTTAATATAATTAAAATAATTAAATGGAGCTCCAACTGGTATTAAATCTAAAGTTTTTGAGAAATGTTTGCATTGCTTGTTAATTTTTGCTGCATAATTTGATCAAATATGTAAAACATGTCCGTAGCACGTTAAACTGTGGTGCCATTGTATTAATATACAATTATTTGCTCAAAAGTTGCCCTTTTTTTCCAATTTGCGTTTGAATATCTACATTTATTCTCATTCTTCTGTTTAATGGAATGCACAAACACAGCAGCGTGCCATCAAAGATGGCGTCTCCGAGGAGGTCATGTGACATTCATTGGTCTGTGGGAACTATGTATATGGCTGGAGAAAACATTGCGGTTACGCACTGCAATTCTTCTGAAAGCCACCACCGTTCCGAGGCGTACGGGCAGTACGCTCTCAGGTACGGGGATCGATAGAGGCACTGCAAGCGGAGGTCTCCTCTCTGCTGAGTCCAGGCGCAGCAGTGGAGGTAGACCCGCAGGACGCCACCAGGGGGCTGTACTTGTGGCCGAGTAGCATATAAAAGGGAAAGCAACGCCACCTAGTTTTAAAAATGAGACTAGGACTCAATAAAGGAAGGTTCTTAAAAACAAGGTGAGCAGTGTAAAAACCAGAGTTTTAAAAGGGATAAAACAATTTATTACAAATAAAATTACAGAATAAAATACTAAAAATATAAAAGCAAAGTCCAGTTAAAAGCCCAGTAAGGACAGGGGCAACTCCGCAGACCTAAAACCAGAGGAGCAGGAGGCAGTAAAACGTCCATCCATCCATCCATCCATTTTCTACCCTTTAATCCATTTCTGGGTCAGGGGGGTGGCAGTCAGAGATGCCACCCAAGTCTCATAGCACCAGCCCCTCACTGACCCTCTGCAGGTGGTGAGTCCACAGGAGGACGGCTGCTCTCTGACTGTGAGCATAGCCTTGATCTTTCAGTGGGGGCTTTGGGCAAAGTGGGGTTAAGTGTCTTGCCCAAGGACACAACGACAGCAGTCATCAGTGGGAGTCGGTGGAGAAGGTGTAGAGGTGGGAATTGAACCCACGACCTTCTGGCCTTAAGGCCAATGCTCTACCAACTGAGCTACTGTCGCAGTAAAACGTTCTTTTTTAAAAAAAAATAAAAAAGAACGTTTTACTGCGACAGTAGCTCTGTTGGTAGAGCATTGGCCTTAAGGCCAGAAGGTCGTGGGTTCAATTCCCACGACCGTAAAACGTTCTTTTTAAAAATCTGTAGGTTAAAAGTGGGATGAATCCCGGCCAGAGCACTAAAGGTCACTTACGTGCACGGGCAGAGAAACTCTGCCCGCTGCGGTGATGTCACGTCGTGCTCTAGCTCCACACGAGGGAATGGATGGCCAGGCCCCTCCCTGAAACAAAAACGGGTCTCCCACAGTAAAACTCCTTAAAAACAGATTTCTATCGGCCAGCAGCAGCCGTATGCCCGACCAGAGCACTACAATGTTACTTACAGGCACGGGCAGAGAGACTCTGCCCGCTGCGTGTAGTCCGCGTCGCGCTCTGGCTTTCCGTGGGTCCTGTGCAGGTACTGCTGACTGCTGCTGCCGTTCTTCATTGCCTCCTCTCCTCGGTCGCCCAAGACGCCCTGTCGTCCACCTGTCTCCTCCTCTTCCTCCCCCATAGTCTGTTTAAAAACCCTTTTTCTCATTCGCTCCAGCCCCCAGTGTCTATGTCCATTTGTTAAAATCAGTGGAAGCTGCCACAGGTGTGAGGATAAAAAATCAGGAAGTAAAAACACACAGTGCGGCACACAAAACACATTTCAAAATAAAAGCATGCATAAAAACAAAGTGCGCTGTGCGTCTACCCTGTGACATACTCCCCTTACTTCTTAGTGCCAAAGAAGTCAGGCGGGGTGCGTCCCATTCTGGATCTGCGCGTGTTGAACGAGTGCATTTCCAAACGGCAGTTTCGGATGCTGTCCACAAAGCAGCTCCTCGAGTGTGTCAGGCAGGGAGACTGGATGACATCCATAGACCTGACAGATGCGTACTTCCACGTGCCCATTGTGCCGGAACACAGGAGGTTTCTGCGCTTCGCAGTGGGAGAGAGGAATTACGAGTACTGCCGTCTCCCCTTCGGTTATGCACTCGCGCCTCGGACTTTTTCCAAATGCGTGGAGGCAGCACTGGAGCCGCTCAGACGCGCAGGGGTAAGAATTTTAACCTACATAGACGACATCAGGTTCTGGCTCACTCCGGGTCTATTGCGGGACGGAGTGACTCTGGCCTGCGCCGTGTCTCACGTCGAGGTGTTCACGGACGCGTCGCTCGAAGGATGGGGCGGGGTCCTCGGCCAGAGCTCTGTAGGAGGCTGCTGGTTGGACTCAGCCCGTCTCATCAACCTGCTGGAGATGGAGGCAGTGCACAGGGTACTGCTGCACTTTGCTCCTCAGCTGCAGGGGAGACACGTGATGGTGCGCTCAGACAACACCACAGTGGTCTCCTATCTGAACAGGCAGGGGAGCACCAGGTCCCCCGCTCTCCATCGCATGGCGACGGTGACGCTGCTGTGGGCGGCGCTTCACCTCCTGTCTCTCAGGGCGCGCCACGTCCCGGGGGTCCGGAACGTGGGGGCCGACAGGATGTCCAGGGGGGGCCCACTCCAGGACGAGTGGGGCCTGGCCGGGCGGGTAGCTGCGGAGATCTGGCGGAGGTTCGGCCGTCCAGTAGTCGACCTTTTCGCCAGTGCAGAGAACGCACAGTGCCCGTCCTGGTTCGCCTTAAGGGCCGCGGACGAGCCGCCCTTAGGCGTGGACGCTCTGGCTCATTACCCCTGGCCAACGCTTTCCCACCGGTGCGTCTCCTGCCGGTCCTGCTGCGGAGGATCGAACAGGAGAGGAGGTCGGTGATCCTGGTGGCTCCGGACAGTCCGCATGCCCGGTGGTTCCCCTTCCTGAGGGGCATGGCGGTGATGGAGCCCTGGGCCCTCCCGGACGAGCCGGGGGCTCTAGTCCAGGGGGGAGGAGCCCTGTTTTCACGCCCGATAATCGGCCGCAGGCTCTGGGTTTGGAGGCTGAGAGGCGGAACCTCGTAGACCTGGGTCTTCCCCCTGCGGTGGTGGAGACCATTCAGGGGGGCGAGGGCGCCGCCCACTGTGAGGGCCTACGCCACGAGGTGGAGGCTCTTCAGTGTCTGGTGCGGTTCCCGTTCCTGGGATCCCTGGCGTTGCCCGCTGGAGGGGGTCCTGGGATTCCTACAGGAGCTCTTTGACAAGGGGAGGGCTGTCGCCACCTGGGCGGTGTTCGCGGCAGCCATTACTTCGGGTCACGACGGATTCGGGGGGTTCACAGCCCGCTCTCATCCGTTGGTTAAACGTTTTCTGCGGGGGGCGCGCAGGAGGAGGCCCCCGCTCCAGAGGACGCCCCCGGTTTGGGACCTCAGGGTGGTCCTTAGGGGGCTGTCGGGTCCGCCTTTTGAACCGGCGGCGGAAGCGAGTCCCGAGTGTGTCGCTTTTAAGACGGCCCTCTTGTTGGCGTTGGCGTCTGCTAAGAGGGCGGGCGATTTGTGTGCGCTCTCTGTCCATGCGTCTTGCCTGTCTTTTGGAGAGGGCGACGGCATGGTGGAATTGTGGCCCCATCCGGCTTTTCTCCCCAAGGTCATCACGTTGGCCTTTAGGTCGAGAGTCATCAGGATTAGGGCTTTCTATCCGCCGCCGCATGCCTCCCCCGAGGAGGAGCGGCGGCACCTTCTGTGTCCTATCAGAATGCTGAGGCATTACCTGGCCATGACGTCGTCATTCAGGTTGGGTGGTCAGCTGTTTGTGTGTCTGGGCCCCAAGAACAGGGGCGCCCCGCTGTCGGCTCAGCGGCTGGCGCACTGGGTCGCCACGGCTGTGCGGCGGGCGTATCAGTCGCAGGGTCTGGCCCCCCCGGTGGGCTTCAGGGCGCATTCCATGCGTGGGATGGCGGCCTCTACGGCCCTTCTCAGGGGGGCGTCGGTCGAGGACATCTGCCGTGCGGCTTCTTGGGCGTCGTCCTCCTCTTTCGTCCGGTCTTATCTTTTGGATGTGTCGGACCGGTCGGTGGCCCATTCCGTGCTGAGTGCAGCGGACTGAGTTAGACCGTTAGGTCCCCCCTCTGAGGGGGCCTTCGGTTTCTTTCCGCCCTGGTTCAGGAGCTCTTGGGAGAGGCATCCTACAGGTGCGGTACTTATATGTGTGTTTGGTCGGTCTGGTAGTCCACGTCGGGAGCTCTTGGGAGAGGCGTCCTGTGACTACGGATGACCTACGATCTGTGTTACGTGGGGGCATCCTTCGTAGGAGTGGCCCTGTAACACGCTTGTTTTTCTTCTGCCCTGAGTCCTCTCACGGTGTGAGGGTCTTGCTCGGGCGGAGCTCCAATCACCCTTCGCTGGCCTGCTGGGAGTACATGTTCCTACGGCCTCTGCGTTGTGTCCCACTAGCGAAGTCCTAAGGGACGTAGCACCATGACGTAGACTTAATAGTTATCTAATGTAACTTAAGTTCTACGAATAGGTGCGTAGTCCCTTAGCTACGAGCCCATCAGGCCAGCCCGGCTTGGCAGAGTTCAAGAGGGGGTGCGGCCTTGTGCAGGGGCATTTATAGAGGAAGGTGGCTGGTGATTGGAGCAAATTATTTTGATCTCTCTGGCGTGTGACCTGGGGGTCACGAGTGATATCCCACTAGCGAAGTCCTAAGGGACTACGCACCTATTCGTAGAACTTAAGTTACATTAGGTAACTATTAATTACTTTGATTGTAACAATGACATATTAACAGTTTTCCCAAAAGCTATGCACAATAATTTGGCATCCCTGTTTGGATAGTCTGCAGACCATGTTTCCCACTGAGCTCAGCCTCGTCTGCAGCAACACGATCATCTGTTGTGTGTCTTTATGTGCCATGTTTGCATAATAGACGTTTCCACACTGCAGCCAAATGCCTGCTCTCGCTTCGCCTCTGGACAATGACAGTGTGTTGTAATAGATCCATGGTTGTAACGCACTGCAAGGCGCTGTTTCTCCATCATCCATGTCGTCTGTGTGTGAGGAGCGGGCACCGGGCAGACCGGGCAGACCGTGCAGAGGAGCGGGCAGAGGAGAGGACAGACCGTGCAGAGGAGAGGACATGGAGGCTCATCGGTCTCTCCGCGGACCTCCACAACCAGCGCTGCCGCCTCCTGCACTCCTCTGCCGGCCGCAGCACGGACGTCTGCCTCTTCTATGTCAAAGGGGACTTTTTCGCCATGGATGCCCGCTGTGCGCACTCCGGTACAGGCTAACCCGTCATGATATATATTGTATTGGTTAAACCCCTGATTACAATCCAATGAGTCAATAGCGATACAGTATGGTGCATGGATCTGGTCACAAGTCCCTGCTAGCATAGCCATAGCTAACAGCTGCTACATCTCTGCATCATGGATCTACTTTGCATCATGGATCTACTTTGCATGCATGTCCTGCTGCAGACACTGATCTTTGCAGAATGACAGCTTTTATCTCATATCTGTTCATCCTCCACATGAGCTCCACTCCTCTGTTGTAGAACATAATGCTTAGTGATGTGTCCTCAGGTGGTCCTCTCTGTGAAGGGGACATAGAGGAGGCGGATGGGGTTCTGAAGGTGTTCTGTCCCTGGCACGACTACGACTTTGACCTCCGAACAGGAAGATCTGGGACATCCCTACAGGTTAGTTTTACAACCAAACACTAGGAAAGTTCTCTAAATTATCTCTGAATAGCTCTCTGTAATCTAGTAATGAATTCAAAACAAACCTGCGTCCATGAAAAAAATATGTTTTTTGATAAGAAGCACTAATGAGAGGGGTTTGCAATCAAATAAGCTTCACCCCACAACTTGAAACAACAAAAAATGTGTTTTTTTTGTATTCTTGTTTTATTTATTTTTTGTTATTGCTAATATGTACATGCTTTGAAATACTGTTTGATTCTTTGATCTGTGTTGGTGAATTCAAAGGTTTTGTTAAGTCCTGAGTTAAGATAACTGCTGTTGTGATTTAGGGCATTTATCAGAATCAGAATCATTTTTATTGCCACGTGAGTAACAGGAAGTCACAGACTTGGAAACTGCTTTGGTTCAGTGCAACAGGGTAGAGAAGGCATAATAAAAAATAAAGAATAAAAAGCACTTCTAAGGAATAAATTGAAAATAGAGTTACAATTACTATTTACAATATACAAGTGCACATGGTGCACACAATGTAAGGTGACAGCAGTACAGTGAAGTAAAGTGACGTATGATGGGCAGTAAAGTGACTTTATAAAGGGCGGGGGGACAGGTTAAGAAGTGTTCAAGAGTCCAACAGCAGAGGGGAAGAAACTGTTCTTGTGGCGGGAGGTTCTAGTCCTGATGGACCGCAGCCTCCTGCCTGAGGGGAGTGGTTGGAATAGTCCATGTGCAAGGTGAGAGGGGTCGGCTGTGATACGACCAGCCCGGCCTCGAGCTCGGGCGACGTACAGGTCCTGCAGCGATGGAAGGCTGCGGCCGATCACTTCCTCTGCAGAGCGCACAATGCGCTGTAGCATCGTGAGCAAGAATACATACAAGAATACATTGAAATACATATTTTGATTGATTGATTTACTGAAATATGACCATGGATTCTATTGGGGAATTAGTTTGACATAAAACATAAATCTAAAACAAGGTTCTCATTTCTTGTTTTTGGTTCTAGCAACAAGTGTATGAAGTGAAGCTGGAGGATGGGACGGTGTATGTGAAGCACGCCAGTCAGCTCTCTCTGCAGCCATTTCCTGCTGATCAGCATTGCTCCAGCTGATCATGAGGCAGGTCTATTGCACAACATTTCCTCAATGATGATGATACTCAGGACTCAGGCTGTTTTTATTTCAGACCTCTGTGCAAAGCCTGGGACATACTGCACTAATGGACATCAACTTGAGAAAAACACTAACTATTGCAATGCTGTATCTCACATAATTATGGTACAAAGGCTTGGAAGGTTCTTCTAATAAGACAAAAATGTAAAGAAGCTTGTAGTGCTTAATTACTGCTCAAGCACTACTAGTAAGTAATTAAGCAGTACTATTTTCTTTACACTTTTGTCTTATTAGAAGAACCTCCTAAGCTTTAAACATAAAGAAGACATAATGAACTTTTTACATTTAATGAGACAAAGTATCTGCTATAACTGCCACAAATGTTTCCAATATACCCGTCACACACTGGTTTACTGTGAATAAAAAGGTAGTTAACATTCAGACTGAAAATTACGCTTTTAGGTGGACATTAGGACGGCCGATATGCCTATGTTTTGTACAATGATGAATAATGTTATGTTAAATTCTTTAAGATATTAAATGTATTAATTAACAATTCAGTTGCGGTTTGGGAAATAAGTTATTTAACACAAAATGTCATCATGTTTTCCTGATGAAAATCACTTGCTCTTTGGATGTTAAGATTTAAACTCACAACTTTTCCTTCAAGTTTCTCTGATATTTCTGTACCTTGTCCAATAAGTTAATTAAGCAGGAAAGACCTGTCCTGAAATGCACCTTTGAGGGAATGTGTCGAGTGACTGTATTTTGCTCACTGTCTTTATTCAACCTGGGTTTAATTTTCTACTGGTGTCTCTGACGGGTGTCTCCCTGCCTGTGGTGTACACTTATTATAGTAATAATGCAAGAAAGAACCTCTTCTCATATTCGACATGGACTAGCCACATGCAGCTTGTTGTGCATCAAAAATAAACTGCTAATAAATATAGTTTGGAAAATTCAAAACAGTGGGATCTTGTTTTAGATGCACATTCTTGGATCATTGTGCACAAGCTCAACCATTATGTGGCTTTCCAGCTTTTCTGTTTCTATTTTAACCACAGATCTCTTCAATAATATACAATGAAAAACTCAATCAGGTTCAGATCAAGTCAGTTGTTTATTTACACGCCTTGTCCATACAATTATAGTAAATTTCAAACACAATTTACAAAACAAAAAAACAAAGACAGAAACAATGGATTGGCATAATGTGCAAAACTCCAGGTAACAAAAGTTGAAAAGCTGTGCAGTTTTTGTGTTTATGTAATTCGTCAGGGTGCTTTCCTGGAGCGTAGTGGTAAATATACAACTGTGCGGACAATCCAGGACATTTAAGAAAGATTTTGTGAATAAGTTATTATCTCCCTGAGAGCCGCAATGCACAGATGAGAACCTACTGATGGTTTAATATTGTTTGTAGAAAATGGTGTTTGAATTGTAAAGGTAGCACAAGGCCAATTACTGATGTGACAAGAATGGGAAAAACCATTCAATTGTTACAAAAAAAATATGACATAATAAAGCCTGTGCCTCATGTCGTCTAAATTTAGGGTTACCACTTTACACTTAACATTATAATGAGTTATGGATTTTGATTTCACTAGTACTGCATATTTTATTCTCCAAGCAACCAGTGGGGAAAAGTTTGGTGTAAAATCCACTCTCTGTAAAGAAGTTTTCTGTACTGACAACACCCACAAGTTTTATGTTTATGTCAATATGGAACAAAAATACAGGGAAAAGCCAATCTTGTAATATATTGTCCTGAAATCTCTCGCCTTATTTAAAAGAACTGGAAGCTCTTTCATAAATCATTAAACCAAACATCACAAAAACATTGTTTGAAGTTCCCCAGATGACAGAGTAACTGCTTCGAGAGAGCCCCCCCGTCTTTTCCCATGCAAAGATTACATAAGGCTTTGCTCACACTGTTATTGTTACCTTGTCCTTCAAACTCCCCTGATAATTTCTCCTCAACAATGAGCCAACGTTTCTGTCAAAGCAAAGCCGGCGTTCTTTTTTGCGCAAACGCTTTCAAAGAAGGTCCACGATGTAGTGATTTACTGCCAAGCAAAAGACAACTAATATTTTCCTTATACCTTAATCATTTCATCAAACAGAGCCTTAGACTTATTAAAACCATCAGTGGACAATCTTGCATTTGCTTGTGCAGTCCCCCAGTTGCTTCACAGCTGTCAGGCCTCCTTAGCTCACCTCACATGGCTCTGCTTCCATCCTAGGACTAATCTTATGTTACACCTGGATTCAATCACCTTCTCAGTCAAAGCAAAAGCCTCGCAGACAAGTTATTTTCATCCACACATCTGAATTATGCATTTGAATGTCAATGATTAAAAGGTCTACATATAATGGTTTTGGGGTCAGAGTATTGTTTCTTTTCCAGTGAACTCATGATATACAGAATAAAACACATATACATAAGCAATATGGGAAAGATTAGAGCATTTCTATTTGAGCTTTCTGCAAAATGAACTTGTTTGTGAAAGTTAACACTCCAGAGATTGTGGTATTTATTTTTAAGTTAATTGCAGGGGTATTTACTTGTCAGCTGCTCCTGGTTTCTCTATGGACCATGGTCAACCTCATTTGGCTTTTGGATTAGTTCAGCTTCAAGAGTTTGTCCTTGGGGTCTGAAAGTGGCTGTGTCGCAGAATAACAACTCGTTAAGTGCATGGTGTATATTTGTTTTCAGATATAGATGATTCCATAAACACTTCATTTGGTGTTTAACAAACATGATATTATGCATTTTAACTTCCACAAATCTCTTTCCATTAAGAACAACAAATCTAATAGAAATGGTAAAACAATAAACAAAAAAGATCCATATGTTTTACCTCGTCCCTCACAAATACAAATGTATTTACATTCTGAAACCGCCCCTATACATCTTTGGGAAAAAGTGAGGCCTTCAAAATAATGTTTTTTGCTGTTAGGAATGTGTGGAGGTATGAATCATATTAAAAATTATTTTGATTTAATTGTGAGTCATGCTCTTGGCACTCTGGGTGTGGAGGGATGTTTGGCTGAGAACATGGCGCTATATGAAAAACACGGACACATTTGAACAACATCCACAAGTCTCTGGGCATGATGTCAGGTAATCCTCTGGGGGAAAACTCCTCCAATTAGGAGAGCACAATGTTGTTGTCTTAATTCTATTTGAAACACTGATTTGTGACTTGTCCAGAAAGGTGGTGGTTGAATTAGTGAAAGAAAATATTTCCTTTTCTGGAGGAAAAGGCTTAAAGATGCACTATTTCTGTTTTGTGGAGGAAGTGCTCACCTGCGTGTATCAGGAATCCTTATTGATTCCCCAAACAGTAGAAATGGATTTATCTTTCATTTATTCAATCCCATGTGTTTTATTGCCAATTTATACTTTTCCATAGAGTTTTAAGCCATTTAGTCAAACATTTCAGAAACAATAATGATATTTCCATTGAGAATACTGCAGCCTTTAAATGTATTGCTTGTACTGCTTCAAGTATGGGAGTTCAACTCCTGTCTTACTAAACATCAATAGGTTTGTTAATGTCAAAAATGGTTCATGCTCAGCAACATTAAATTATCAACAATAACTCTTGATTCAAGATCTGAAAAATAGAAGAAAAAAACACTGGTAATATAATAAAAACAAATTATTAGTTATATTAGTAGAAATATACTCATTGTGTGAACCTACCTATGAAATAGTATTTACTGCCGCTGTGAAGCACGGATATTCATCCTTCTGCGGCTTGAGGAGGTGACTCTACGACTCTGGGTCCTGCCCTGTTGCTCTGACGGGTAGGCCACAACTCGGGACCTCTGCACCTGCACCCCCTCCAACTCTCTCATGTCTCTGGCCATCTGTGCCAGCGTTTGTCCCGGATTGGTCTGCAAACGCTGGAACAAACCTTCTCTGTTTATTTTCCTCTCTGGACAGTGGAAAGTCAGTGCTATTCCTGCATCGGCTTTCATCTCCCTGGAAAAGCCGTCCGAGGTGCCATCAAAACAACGCCCTATAGCGATCTCTTTGGCCACTCTCGGGTTTTGATCTGTCACAGTATAAATGCCATAGTTGTGGCCAAGAGGGTCCACAGGAGCTAGCATGTTGAATCCATGTGTTTCGTTGTTTTGGACAGTTGGTGGATGCTTGATCAGATACTCTTGAAGAAGACTGTTTGTGATGGTTCTTCGACAGTTGCCTTGAGGAAGTACTTCTATGAGGGATCGATCCACCGCAGCTTGGTCAAACAACATTCCACTACATTTGAATTCAACACATGCAGCTGATGTATTTGCCTCCCGCATATCCCTCGTACTCCGAATATCTCGAATGCCATAAAGCTTGCCCATTGTCTCCCTATGACTTCCTCCAAAGTTTCGTGATCGGACCATCACTTCCTTTTGCCCATTTATCCTAACCTTGATGTAGCAAGCTCTGAACTCCTGAGGATTTGGCCACCATGACAGGTAATCTCCTGTCCAGGTTGTTAGATCGTTTTCTTCGAATGGTACAACATTGTATTCATACTTGTCCTTTTCCACTCTAAAGAATCTAAAATGGTTTGCATCAAAGGGTGCATTCTCACAAGCTAACAAACTCTGGTATGGATAAATTGGTCCATTGGTTTCATCGAAGTTGTTTTGATTAGGCTTTGCCAGGTTGACTTTAAAGGCAGTTTTCTTCAGTGTAGGATCATCATGGTCTGTACGCTGGTAGTTCAGCTTATCCAGATAAGGCTGGGAAACTCCAATAATGTTAGGATTCATTTTTGGAGAGGATGGTGCTGCTTCAAGTTCTTCTCCTCCCATCATGGCTGTTACATATGCAGTATAGGCATCAGGTGTTCGTGCATCACAGAATGCAGGTAAGCAAGCCCCGTTAGATCCAGTTATGACACTATCAAAACGCCCCCAGGCCCGAGGGTTAGAAGAAAATCCGGGTTTTGGCTCCAAGTTTATTAAACTGATCACAACTCCTTCAAGTTGCTCACTATGAAGGAACTTGTCACTCATGTAAGCTCTAACTTTGACATAGCAACGTCTATTTTCAGGGACATCCAAATTAAAGAGTCTACGTTCCCTAATTTCCATGTTTCCAATTAGAAAAGTACGTTCCTCACGTTTGTTCCGTCCTGTGGTTGTTTTGGTGTATGAAAAGTCACTCTCTTCCTCCCAAAGTCCTGTCTCTGGATTCAAAGACCACAGTTTCATTTTGGGGATGTGCTCCTGCATTTTCACATGTTGTGTATCAAGGAGGACTTGGACACCACCTGCTCCCAGAATGTCTCTATTGCTTTCATCTCTGAAATCAACGGAAAACATGCCATAAGTTCTCAAAGGCAGCATGTCGCCGTCATCACTGACAAAGTTTAGGTCGCCTGGAGTAGCAGCTGCTGTTGTGATGTTTCTTGGATCAATAAATGTCACACTGGCTTTCACCGTGCCTTCATAGACTTCTCCATTGTCCTTATGGAAAGAGTGGGCAGGGAAAACTAACTGGCCAATGGGGTCTTCACCCTCGATTTCTCCTAAATCTATTGAGTTGCTTTCTCCTGCATTGAGATCAATGGGCTCTTGCTTTCTCATCACTCTGACATCATGGTAAATAGAGCCACCCTTCTTGTCAAAAATGAAGACTTTTGGGGTGTCAATGAACGTTTGAGTGGGGTCAACAAAGTTAACAACTAATCTTTGGGTGTCTTGAGTAATTTGTAATGTAAAGTCACCTTGAAAGCCAGTTGTGCCAACCCTTTCCTTTCCAATGTAAATGTGACCAAATCGTAATGGTTCATTGTTGTCAGCCGAGACAACTCTGCCTCTTACCAGAACTGTGGGTTCAACACATTTCTGACAGCCACACTGTGTAACTGTTTTGATTGGAAGACTATAGCTGCCACAGTTGATGGTGCGAGCCTCCATGGTTTTGACGGCACAGCAAAATCCAGCTCCATCCCTGCAGCGTAGATCATAGTCCAACGGTCCGGGACATTTGTTGTGAGGGCAACGGCCAGCGTTATAGAATGCAGAGTCTGTCCCAGGCTGAACACAGTCCACTGGCATCCTGACGAGGTGCGGCTCTGGGGAGGAGTTACAGGCTGCTGCCCCTTTAGCTGCCAAATACAAATGTTGGGTTAATGTTTGAACAATTGCTATTTAGAGTGAATACATTTTAGTACACAACAAACGTTTATGAGGAGTGGACTGGCCAAGTGCTGACATCACCACCGCGTTTGGAGAATGCGGAAGAATGGCTTTTGAACATAAGTTGATTTGAGCATAAGCTAGCTTGAGCCAATTACCTTATTCAGCATTTGTTCTGAAGCCGTTATCTTTGCGGTATAAACGAGACATTTGTGTTGCTAAGGCATGGTTGCTAGGGCAAGCTAGAGTTTCAGCCCTCGAGTAAAGGTCAATCAGACAGGCCATCTGACAGGTCAATCATTATGGCTTATATCAATTGGAGCCAGAGCAAGTTGGAGCTTAACTTAATTCATGAGCACCTCCCTGTTGGGCTTTATTGAGCTAGACCCATGGGTTAGCGTTGTTCATTTATTTACAGTCTATGGTGTGCACTTGCCTTAAAGCACGCAAAACATCTCTTTATGCCCAGATGTACATTTACACTACAAGACCTCACACGATCCTGAATATTAGATGTAGTTCATTGCTTTTGCACTTGGGAAAGTCCTTTTAATATTTATTTATTTAATACAAAATAAATATTTGCCTAACCAGCACCTGGAAGAATTGTGGAACCTATTCAGATGTGGAAATGTATCCTTGTTTGTCTAAAAGCAAGAGTAGCAACATCATTTTATCTCAAATGTCATCGTGGCACTGGATGTTCTGGGGAAATTGAGTTTGAGGTTTCACAGTATCCAAGCTGCCTGCACAATAATGCATCCTTATTTGAAAGGGCACAGCCCCAACAAATGTCAACATCATAAATGTTTCCTCAAGTCTGTGATTTTCTCTTTCCGTATGTAATTTAATTTTCCTTTCGCAAATGATTAAGTGACTTATGATTTCTCTATTGAAATGTTGAAACTAGTCATTATTGTGAGAATACATAGATGTGGTTTGTTTCTGGTTTGGCTCAACCTTGAAGTTCTTATTTCTTTGTGTTGATTTTCAGGCAACTAACTTTTTATAGTTTACAAGTATTTTGTGTCTATTAAAATACACCACTGCAAAAAGTAATTTGACACTGCACTTACCAATGACAGTGAGGAGAGCAGGAGCAGACTTGATGCTGCCTGCAGAGCTGCTGGTTTTGCAGTAGTAGTGACCCGACTGCTCTGGCCTCAGATCTCGTAACACTAAATCCTCTTCGTATTTGTTCACCTTTCTGTCGAGCAGAGTTCCATTGTGGTACCTAGACAAGACATGATTTACTTAGGTGTTATTAAAGATGGACGTGATAAACAGATGTTTATCAAAGTATTGCCTTCTGTTTTGCATTACATTTTTGGAGCTGCCAGGGAATTTTACACTGTGTGTTCCACTGTTGTCTGCTACATCAGGCACAGCAGTATGAGGTGGCTTTTAGGCTTTAATTTTAGCTTCATACAGAAAAGTCTCATTGTTGTGGTTACTGAATTCGAACAACATAGGGGCTGCCAGCAGGAAAAACAGAAGTGTTAGGGTTGGATTCCTAAACAGGAATTCTGAAAGTCTTTATGTCATTACGTTAAACAAAAATTATTGTGTCTATTACAGAATCCCATTGCCACCTCCATGATAGAAGCTGAACTTTGTACAATAAACCATCTGTAAAAAAATGTAATCTGTAGAATTTGGCCATTGGGTGAAGTTTAATCACTGGTGAAAGACATCATGCACATGTCACACCAAAATATCTTGAAGGGTTTTCTTGATTTAGAGCAATATTGAGTCAAAAATACAATTCATCTAAGGCTTCTGACATTATCACATTTTTGTTTAATCTCACCAGTAGTATTTGTCAGGCAGTGGTGAGCCCGTGGCCTTGCAGCACAGCAGCACTCGTCCGCCCTCGTAGCGCACTTTGTCCTCTGGGTGCTTCACAATATATGGCTTCTCTGATGAAAAGGGAAAACAGCCAAAGTCATGACCACGCTTCTGAATGGGCCCGCAGTGTTCAGAGACCTCATAAAACTCACAAACTTCATTTTTACATTGGCCTATTCCTCATAAAAAAATATTGTTAGGGGACTAGCCTTTGACATTTTTTATGTTATTATTTGGTTTCCATGCAACCACATAGTAATTATAGCCGAAAATAAGTCATACAATAGGCAAGATTGTTTAGGAATAGTATTGTCATTTCCTGTTAAAAGCTGAGAATAAGATGAAATGAAAATGTCATACCACATACAATACACACTGGACAGAAAGAAATGGTTGAATAATGTAATTGAGCTCTGTTCTGTAACACATACTACTGTTTATTGTCGTGATGGTCATACTCGGTCTTTTTTTGTCATTTCCCTTAAACGATCAGCATGCATAGAGTATAGGGGTGGGAACCTCAGGGTACCTCACGATACGATACGATGTGCGATACAAAGCTCACGATAACGATGCAGCGATTATCAATATATTGGGACAAAATATACCTACCATATTATTTTTCTTATATTTATGGCATAAATTAAGTGAAAAAATATACTTTATTTCAAGATAAATGGATAAAGTGTCATGTGTAACATTAAAATGAACAGGCAAAAATGTCTTTTAACCTGCACATTTTAGTAAAAATCTTACTTAATCTATTTTACATCCAATAAAATCAATATGAACATTCTACAGAAATTATAGAATGCGTAATGTAGCCATATATTAAGTAACGATACTTATTTCTTTTCAAATAAAGCTTTAAAAAAATTGTGTTTGGTTTTGTTTTTTTAAATAATAAAAATAAATCGATACTTAGCAAAAGCATATCGATAATCGATTGTGTGAGAAAGTATCACGATACATCACCATATCAATATATTATCACACTCCTAATAGAGTATCATAAAGATACCTGCAGTTTTGAGCACAGTTTTGATCCAGGACCGGCCCGTTGTGTTGCTCGTTGCTGCCACCGTCACTGGTGCAAACTTGTCTTTACGAATAGAGACCAGGGCCGAGCTGGACGAGCACACTCCTGGTAGTTTGAACTGGCCCTTGTTGTCTGTACGGGCCAGGATGACTTTGGGCTGACTGGGCAGAGACACTGAGGCTCCGGACACAGGCACTCCGGTCATACTGTGCACCTCTCCCAGCAGGACATGGCCGTCACACACACAGCGACTGCAGTCCTCGATGGGACGTCCCTCAGAGCACGACATTTGGCAACGAACTTGAAAAAAGATGAAAACATAATAAATCAACACAGTATTATTAAGATTTGTTTGCTCAGATAGTGTCCTAATCTGAAGCTGATCCTATTTCATCCTGAGTTCATTGTGTTTTCTTTACCTGGGCATGGGCTCTTTCCGCACTTCTGCATTTCGGCAGGACGTCCCGTACACTGCACTGTTGGTGAGTTCTTGATACAGGTCCTCCTCCTGACCCTCCGTCCCCCTCCACAGGACACAGAGCAGTCTCCCCATTGCCCCCATGGACTCCACTTGGCTGAACACACACAGAACTTTTAATGCACATACAGTATATTGAGCAGAATTAAATTAAATTGTTTCATAGCATCCCGGTGGCATGCTTTTGCTTTAATAAACCAAATATAAGAGGGAAGATGAGAGAAGATTAGCTCTGGCTTCACTGTGCAGCCCATCTGCTCAGTAATTAGCCAAGGAAGAGATATGTGTGGTTAAAAAGACTGAGGGCAAGTGCTTTTAGTTTACAATATTCTGTTAATTACTATGTGGAGATAATTTTCTCATTATCAGGCGAAGGCAGATGGTGCTTTAACAAATGGCATATGTTCAGATGTATGACAAAAATATGCAAAATTGCTTTTAAATGTTTGAACAAATATACAATTACAAAGTTTCCCTGAAGTTTCCTTTGAGAATATTATTGTTTATTTTTTTTGGTTTTAATGAATGAATGGGAGATAAACTGCCTTTCTACAGTCACCTTGGAAGCACCAACTCACCAAGTATATCGCTTTTAAAAATGTAAAAATCTGGCCAAAAGTGGTACCGCAACCTCTTAGACTCCCTGATTCTGGTTGCCAGATATGCATACAAATCTAGCTGGGACCATGATATATGAAAAGAGTTTTGTCAACAAAAAATCTATAACCAACACCTTTTTCACAAAGGCCCGATAGAAATCCTAGTTTTATTCGTTGTTTTGTCACTGACAATTTTAGAATCATAACGAGTACCTTTTTAGTACTGCGGCCACATGTTTCTTTACCAGTGAGATTAGCTCGAGGTGAGTTCTGGCAACCCGGATCACGGTTTCTGATTGTTGAACCATTGGAGGGCGGGACATCGAAATGAAAACAATAAAAACATTAAGGGGCTGTGAAACTAATTTTGAAATCCAAATATCTCTGCTGAAATACTGTCATCAGTTACAGAAGTATTCGAGAAAAATCTTGGTTTATTGATAACTTTTGACAGATTAGGGCCATTTATCTTACATACTGCTACTTTAATATTGGTTCTTACTAAGGAACAATTACGTGGAGCTAAACTGCCAGCCTCTATGTTTTCTGGATGTGTTTTCTGACCTGTACAAGGGGGTGTGGAGCACTCTCGTCTGTCCGTGTGGTGGCCCTGGCAGGCGGGCACCAGCAGCAGGGGCATGGGCTGGCTGCTAAGACACTTCCTGTGTCGAGTCTGGATCCCCGCGTCGTTACACACAGAGGTGGAGCATGGACCCCACTCGCTCCAGTCCGACCAGTAACTCTGCACTGAACACACAAACACACAACTCTGGAGTCATTGCATTGATGGATTTACACACAATGAAAAGAGGATGTTGAATAGGTCTTTAATCTACAAAACTCAGGCATGTTCAAACCATGGCCGCGGGCTTATTGTGGCCCTGTGTTTTATCGTATGTAGCCCACTGTCTTGCTAACCTAAATTCTTTGAGATCCACGTATGCAAATATACATTGTTACAAATCACAGAACCTCTAGAATTCAGCCTTTGACTTTATTTGTAGGTGCTCATTTGTTTTTGATTGTGTCATTGCTAATTTTAAAGCTTGTAATAGTCCAAATCCAGTAAAGGTGTTTCTATTCATGTTGTCGGCCCCTGGACAAGCCAGATTAACTGAAGTAGCCTCTTACTACAAAGTTTGGGCACCTATGATCTAACTTGGAGCGTAGGAGACTTCAAAGCACTACTGCACTTCTGCCTATGTTTTTTTTCTGTAATATTCCTTTTTATTTGTATTATAATTCTTTCCTGCAGATCTGTGTAGCACTGTATCCCTTGGGACAATAAAGTGTATCTTATCTTTTCATATGTGTTTGTTGCAAAGCCTCAGATGCTACAAATTGTCTTCACATGAATGTGTGGTCACTAGCTCAACAATAGATCATGAATTGAATTTGCATTTCCTGTGAAAAAAAATCATACAAAAAGCTTGGTGCCCCAGGCTTTAAAGATCACAGTAATATTGAAATAGAATGTATACAATTTCAGGTTTTGAACAAATGGATATACCCGTTTCTCCACTTTATGAGAAACTATTCTAGCACCAACACAAGCCAGAAAACACCACCACAATGAGGCAGAAAATGAACCAGACGTGTGAATTCCTCCACATTTGCCAGTTATTCACACATGTTGAGAGCTTGAAGCAGCCGTAACTTATGAACACTACTGTGATTGTTTGTTGTTGGTACAATAAACTTTGCCAGCCTGAGCCCCCCCACCCAGATTACCTGGAGGACATTGGAATCGGACGTGGTAGTTGGAACAGATCCTCCCATGAGGCTGCTCTTTGTTGACGCACCAGAAGCCCTTGTCCAAGCTGGAGTGCACCACCTCTCCAGTGTCGGCAGCTGAGACCCAGTCTGTGGTGCGCACCTCCATGGCTGTGGGCCGCACACACACCCTCTCTCTGTAGTAGAACCGAATCGCCTCCAAACGCTCGTAGTCTCCGTTCCCACCAGGATGATCGATGTTGAACCAGGACGTCCACTCCGTCACGGCTTTATGCGCATTCAGAAGAAAAATATACCGTGTTTTAAAAGCCAGGAAAACTAGAGGAGAGAAATGATCCAACTGGGAACGCGGAATAATTCAGGCAAAAAGGGGGAATTCTAGATTGAATTGGTCTTACATGCTGAACGGACGGGGTTGATGTGCTGCATGTGTTAGGGGTCTGCTACTGTCATTTTAAATTCAGACTCATCTCACAGGGGAGCTTTAAACTACAGCCGTGTGTTTTGTCTGCAGCCATTTTGGGTGCTCAGGGAATTCAAATGGTTTCTGGAAGTCATGCAATATCATAAACTGGACAATGCAGCCGCCATAGCGTTATGAAACTGCTTAGACTACAGGCATTAAGAAAGTAAATAGATATTCAAATGTAATCAAAACGTACCTGTAGATTGAGAATAGGAATAGGAGTTGTAGGCTTCGTGTCCGCTGTCCACAGAAGGGTGTCTGGGCCGCAGAGATCCTGAACAAATATTTAAAATCATAAAAAATCCAACACAAATACAAATTAACAGCTCAATTTAACTTCAAGAGGAAGTGTGTGTGGATAGGGACGTCTGGGCGTCTCTGCTCAGAATGCTGCCCCCGAGAATCAGCAACAGATGAAGCGGAAGAAAATGGAATGGAATATTTTGATCTCTGCAAATGTGTGACTTGAAACAAATTGCTGGTGCACTGATGAATGTAGTGCTTTACGGTTTTGTATTCACTCCAATACCTTTGTGAGAATCTTTTCTATTATTTTGTATACCTGTGTGATGGCTAAACCCCACATGATGATGTCATGAGCCTTTCCTCTTACTGATTTGAAGAGGAGAAAGGAGGCGGGCAATTGGGTGGGGAGGTATATAAGCTTGGTTTTGTTTCATTTGAGGAGGTTCATTTGTTTGTGTTTGTTCTGATTAAGTTAACATTTACTTTCTGCAAAGCCTTTCAATGGCCTGTTCTGTTTGTGGCCAAAAAAAAACATCTATTTGAATTTTTTCCTTGTGATTTACTGCTTGGTCCCTAACAACCCAATTTGGTAATTCTTCTCCCATTTAAACAAACACACACAAAACAATCATAAATCTCCCATATGCTCCCCTTTGAAATATGGATCTGACTAAATAAACATTAGTCCTCTAGGAGAACACCATCTTCCCCAAAGATCAGATTTATCGACACTTTGGGAAAAACCCTGTGCTGTTTCAAACTCTGTGGTAATCCATCTCGCTCCTGATCTGTTTGAAGTGTGTCCACAGCCCACTCCTGGCTCACACCATCTAGGAATATTATCAATCCATCACATTTCTATGGATACTGTCCTGTTACCTCATTTGATCCCTGAGCCTCCCCTTCCTGTTTTTTTCCTACTGGACACAAAACAATACAAAGTTCACCAAAATGTGAGCAATAAGTACAACTCTATCCAACTCACAGACATCTCTTTAAGTCATTTGGACTGCGTCACTCCGTCACATTTATACAGAAGGCCACGACCCATGGAGGACCACTCAGGACACAAATGGAGAATGAAGGACATGTGGGGAATACTTAGTTCTATCAATGAGGACGAACAAACACTGCCGACCTGACCTCACCTGTCTTGGAGCAATATGTTATGAACTAATGTCAGAATGTGCAATATAAAACCACACGTTTCACTGTCACTTTACTTTACGTTCTCATCTGTGCAAGGATAACTTTGCTAATGTCAGAGTGTGCAATATAGAACCACATGTGTCCACTGTTGCTCCACTGAGTCCCAGAGCCTCATGCTGCTCTTGCTGTTGTACAATAAGTCACTTTAAGTCACTGATGCACTAGGACTGAAAAAAACCTGCACTGCTATTGCCACTATTTCTTTTATTGCCACTTTTTTTTTAAATTATAACCAGCACAGACTATATTTTTAACCTTGAACATGTTGCACACTTCTGTCTATTGCACGAATCTGAGTGGCTCTATCTATGCCAGATGTAACATGTACATTTCTCCAGTGTGACATTACAGTCTATCTTATCTTACCTTATCTAACATGTACAGATGTAAACATACTGTAGTGATTTCATAACACTTTTAAGCAACTATGGTTAAAGTTCTAACTTCATTCTTACATATGCAGAAGCCTGTACTTTTAAACTTGATGTTTTGATTTCTGAAGGCCAAGCTACAAGCACACTGTGGCAGCTGCTGATTGGAGGTCTCTGTTTCTCCTGAGTATATTATCACTTGCTGTCTAACATTCCTTGTTTGTGTTGTTCGTGCTGCTCTACCATCAACAATAAAACATGTCTTCTGTCTGAATTAAAGACACGATCCCAGACTTTGTCATCTTCATCACTTGCACTAGAATACACAGTACTTTATACTTGTTTCTTAAAAGGCCAAAAGGTAAAGACCACATCCATCTCATCTTGCTGGTTTGACAGCTTTAACTCTGGCAGTAGTAGCTGCGTCCAATGTGTATTTTTGCTCAGCGTGGTAAAAATCCATGTTTTTCAAGTTGATGTTGTGCGAAAAAATGGCATTTCTTTTTGCAGGATGGCCTTGGAAATGAGCCATTTTTGTTTCCAGATTTTACTTTATTTGTTTGCAAGATTGAACATTGTCAGAGATTCACAGCATATGTACAAGGTGACAACATTTTTACATATAAGAAAAACATGTTACCTCAGCACTATGCTTTAGGAACCCCTGACTCTGTTACCATGGCACCCACATACACACATCCACAAATAGCATCCAAAAGGTACATTTAATGAACATGAAAGCCAAGATTTCATGAGACACATGAGGAATTTGACTAAATATAGCTCCCCAATAAAAAGGTATAAAAAGGGTATCTCTGAAGCCAAGAATATTAAGAATGGATTTCTGCAGCACAGCCTGAAGCGTGTCCGTCTGGTACATTAGATCTAGGCTTCTTTATTATTTGGAAAAGTGTAGCGCATTGGCATAAACACAAAGGATAGGCTTTATTATCCCAACTGGAATGTCATGTGTTTTAAAATAAGCATGTAAAAGTACTATTTGTAACATTGTGAGTTATATGATGCATTAACCTGGTGATTATTCAGGTTAACACGAACATGCTGGGATAGGAATCAGCACCTTCAGGTTCAAGGTTACAGAAGTCAGAAGAGTGAGGCCTGGTCCTTTCAGAAGAGACGCACGCCCCCAGTTTTGTCCACATGTGGTGGATATGTGCATGAGAGTGTGAGAACCATTTTTACTGTCTATTTATGTCGCTGGAATATTTAAATCACAACAGTTCCTTCCTTCAGGTTGTTAGATATTGAGCTGGAAAGACTATTAACCGCTGCTATTTGGACACCAGAAGAGGACTGACTCGGTGTTAGATTAATTGTACATATTTTGTCATATACCCCCAACCAGGTGTTGTAAGTTTGTGACAAGAATATTTTTGGTTTTCAATTTTTACACCGTTACCTTTTCTTGTCTTTTTCTGGTCTATTCTATTGGTGCATTGTGTATATATCGTGATCATTCATGCATGGACAAACCGACTTTAATAACAAAGTAAAATTGTGCGGCAACACTGCAGCGAATGTATAATAAAAATACGCCAAGAAAATAAATAATGTTGGGCTCACAATGTTTTCAATGCTCCGCCGTGCCAGATTTCAGTTGGCCGACGGTGAAGGGTTTGAAATGGTCTGGATTCTGTTTGTAAAATCCAAATCATACAAGAAAGAGCTGACAAGACTTCAGAGACAGGACTAGTACTATAATCCTACCGCCGTGTTTTGACAAAGGATAGACCATTTTAATTCAAAGTGTGGCTAATGCGCAGGTATTCAGCAGCGGGGGCAGTGGTGTTGGGGATTTCATATGGAAGTCGTTTATGTGTTGGCTTGACTTTAGTAGCAGTGTTAAAGAAGACTGCTGTTTCTCTCTAGTTCTGTCTAACCTTACAAAAACATGTTCTTCAACTCGTACTGATCCTTCGTTTTTATGATAATGGAACAAATTATATCATGCAGAAGATGTTTAAGAAGTAATGGTTTAAACATAAGACACAAGGTTTTACTATCACTACATGTTAGTGCAAACAGCTGATTTTTGTTTGTGGAGATGGGATAAAAGTTAGGAAATGAACATTTCTTGGCAATGCTGGAAAACGGCAGAATATGAACGTTTACTGTTTTCTCACTGTCTGAAGTTGAAACCAAAATTTATTTTATTTTGTCCATGTCACAATTTTGACAAAGTTTAAATATTATTTTCAGTTTCCTTCTAAAAAGTCAGATTTTGCCAGATAGCTTTGCCAATGTTTTAGTTAATTGGAACTGGACTATTTTTTGTCTAATTTCATAAATGTGCCATGTTGGTGTGACAGAGTCTTACTACTTGTCCCTTTGTCTACACCCTTTGTTACATTTATAAATACATTTCATTTAGAGCATTAACTAAATTAAAAACACTAAACATTACAGATGCACCGATATCGATACTGGTATTGGGTATCGGGTCATCGAGACATTAGCGTCACGACAGCAGACAGCTGTGCGCCACGTGTTCCCATGGTGATCTCTTAAAGTCTGCAGCGAGAAAGTGTTTGCCACTAGCTTAACGGTAAGCGGATGTCGGCCGTACAGCAGTTTTTTAAAGTAAAAGAGTGACAAGAGTAAAGCAGACTGTACGTTGTGTAAAGCAAAACTGTCACGAGGTGGGTCCAAAACAAACATGTAAAAGCAACTTGATCAAACATCTGAAAACTAGCATACCTGCGGCAGCAAAGTATAGCACCTTTGCTAGCACCGGAGCACAAAAACAACCACCTCTACAATATAGCATTTGTATGAGTGGAATATGACAGTGGCTCTTATTGTGGACTATTAAAACAATCGCTCATATGTTTAATTGTTAAAGAATTACCTTATTGTTGAAAAGAGAAATTAAAAATTCCGTTGTATTAGTTTTATGAATTCCCGGGGTTAACACAAGGCAGTACTCGTAACGGTACTCAAATGAAGGTACTCATACTGGTATCTGTTTTGAGATAAGTGGTATCGATGCATCCCTAAACATTACAATAATAATTGATTATTTTTAAGATTCAAACCTTTTTATTCCTTTGTGAGAATTGCTCAATTTGTACCAGATTAAAGGGGAAGGTCTCAGTGCATTTCTTAGTTTTAAACCCCAGAGGAGTGAGATCTCTCTTAAAGTAGAAGAAATGTACTTAAATACAGTATAAACTCTAGAAGGAATGGCCAGCCTGCCCCACGCTGAGGAGTGAGAGGGATGCTATGTCCCAGAACGTAGCATTGTCCCAGCTGAGGAAAAGAACACCAGAACAAAGGCTAAAACCTTTTGAAAATAAGTCCTGTACAAACACGGAAGAAGCATTCACTCCACATGAAAAAGATTATCATTTGTAAACACATACAAGACAAAGATCTTTGTTTGTGTGTTTTTGGAGTGGTCAGAATAAAACTAAAGTGGAACTGTTTGGTCATAATGATGTTGGAGGAAACGGGGGAAGGCTTTTAAGCCAGAGAACATCACCTGAAGTGGAATGGAAGTGTTAGTTTTGTGTCGAGGGAGTGAACTTTTGCACTTCATAAAATAGATGGCATCATGAAGACGGAACGTGATGTGGAAATACTGAAGCAACATCTGAGGTCATCAAGAAAGAAGTAAAAGCTTTGGTAGAAAAGAGACTTCCAAATGGACAATGATTCAAATAATATGACCATAATAATGCGGCACAAATCGAATGGTTTTGGCAAATTCGCTACTTGTTCAAATCCCATAATGTTTTTTGGCGGGGATGGGGGGTTTCTCCCATAGAAGCTGTATGCAGTAAAGTTGACAAGCTGTGTAAAATATGTAGCGGGAGTTGTGGAAGTGAGTGAATCCTGATGCGAAGGCTGTTGTTGATGCACTGATACGATATAAGTGATCGCCATCTGCTGGACTTTCAAAAACCTGCACATAATTGAAGTGAGTCCTGAATCTGCAGCCTCAGTCCTGGATCTATAGCCTGTTTCTCACTTTTTCTTTTGTTGAGTCTTTCGTGCTGATGATCCTGTACATTTACGGACATTTATTCATTGGTCTTCCCTCTACTCTAAAGACCAATGACTCCGATGAGCTTGTTAATACTGCATTTCCTGTGTTTGATTTGTTGGATTCTCTTATCTGTTGTTGGTGAATCAACAACTTTGTTAAGTCCTTCAACATTAGTGCTGCATGTGAATTAGGGCTATACAAAAATAAACTGAATTGAATTGAATGCAGTTATAGAGATAAATCTACCAAACACTGACAACAAGTATACTGTACTGCCCTGGTGAAGATTCAAAGCGCAAATTATTGAGTCAGTCTGCATTATCCACCAAAAACATTACTGTTTTTTGCCATTTTTATCCTACGTAGATACTAATCCAGATGTATCATACTTTTAAATTGCTTAAACATAATAGATAGCTGATTTAGACACATTAGCCCGATGTCAGTGCCTTCAGGCTGAATCTACGAGACCGATGATGTGACTTATTCATACAAACATTTCTATTCTAAAAATGTAATTTCAGGTATTTGAAATACTCCTGTCATTTTCAAAGCAGCAGTTATGCAAAGTTTTGTGTAATTAAAACATTGATCAGTCATGCATTTTTTTCTTTCTCATTTCTGAGGTGTTTTCTAATGAAAAAAAATCCCAGAAACAATCTGTTAAACAAATTGCACATTTTATATCTACACAGATGGAGTGTCATGTAATTGTGTTGGATGTTTGTAATGAAAATTGCCAGAGGCTAGATTTGTTCTGGAGACAGCAGGGTTGGTGACATTCATACAAAAAGTTCTTGTAAACAATGGAACTTTTTTGTTTGACTGAAAAAATACCTTATTTCTGCCTTAATTCATTGATTAAATTCCCTAAAGCTGTGTACCTGGAGGTGCTAATCCCTAAGATACTTCCCATGCTCCTGCGTATCCTGCAGATACAGCCTGTGTTGAGACGATCGTAAATTTGGGCCCTTGACAGTTATCAATCGAGATGTGAAAACAGAAGGTGCAAAGGTGTGGAAAGAATTTTACAAATCAACAGCCATAGTGGTTTCAATTTCCAGTTTACAAATCTAAATAATTCAACCTTCTTACAGATGGTTGCATACATTTCCTAATAATCAACTTTTAGTTTTATTTAGTGGAAATGAAACCAGGACAAAGGCACAACACCTTTTTGCAACATGTCGGTTGCATGAGCGTACGCCATGAGGCGTAAAATTTTACGGTCCGTTTTAAAAAATATGCACTCAGTCGTTTCGCTGCTTTCTTTTTAGTGAGGAGTGATTCTCTGGAGCATCAAAATGTCTCCCGTGCCCTGGACGTTATTTATGGCATTCAGACGCATCAAAAAAAGGTGTGTGCTTTCTGCGTTTAGGAACTGTCAGATCCCAGAAGTCTCTCCTTAAAGATTGGTATTCAGTGAAAAGTACATTAGAAACAATCTTAAATGTTGTTGTTTAGCATAGAATAATCCACACTTTGGAATTAAAGTTTAAAGTATATATTGAAGAGAAGCCAGTGACATCACCTTGCTAACTTGTGGGGCGAGGCGTTTTAGCAGTAAAAACATCCAGTTTGATTCCATTCTGTGGTTTATTTCAAGCAAAACACCTACAATCTCCATGGCAACTAGCGGGTAGCAGACCCTGAAGGAGACTTTTAACTTGCCTCAGTTTGAAGTGAGTTCTAAAAAATTGTTTCAGAACTATTGTTTTCTCACAGCTGAGCAGAAACAGGCAACATTCTCTAAAAGTGCTGAGCAAATTAGCCTCAGCTAAAAGTAGCCTCAAGCACAAAGTCTGAGGTCGGTTGTGCGTCTCTGCTCAATAACCCTTCAAATATTTAACTTCATTATTATATTTTAAAACTGCTCCAGTACTGTTTAAGGTGAGGGCTAAAATAATACTTTGTATATATTTATTTATTTTCAAGATATTACAGTGTTTCAGTAGTGATATTCCATGATGGATGTACAGTAAATATGGCAATTCATCAGAACAGTGCTAAAACAGGCTTCTGAATGGGTTGAGGTGTGATGCCTTGAAACAGTATTATTAGTTATAGTTTAAGGGCCTCAATATTGATCCAAATCTAATGTATTTTAAGTATAGTACTACACCTTATGTTTACTTATCTTGTGCTGTGTGACCAATTTTCCTCGTTTAATTTTGCTCTGATTTCAAGGGTTGCTGATCCTTTTTGCACGTGAGACAACACTTATATACGATCTGCCAGCTCTTTCAATATGTCCTTTTAATTGTGAACAGATGGAAGATGCTCAGGGCTGTCTTATGCGACTTTGATTTTGGTAGATATGTGATAAAAATGCCCCACCATGATTATATATAAAACTAGAAAAACTCGCCCTGAGTCCGTTCCATCATTTGCATTAAGTGACTATTAAGTAATGAGGGCGACTTATCATTGGAGATTAGCAGACGTTCAGAGAAGTGGCCCATCCAATATACACATCCTTATCTAATGAGCTCAGCCGCCCACAGCCCAAGTCTGGCCTCTCTATCCACCTTCTCGTCGCAAACATCCAGGGATTTAACTGATTATGGAAAAATGACAAAAAGAAATGTAACCACGTCCTTTGAAATGTTTGTTGTTTCCTTTCAAAATTCATGTCAACAAAAGTGAAAAATTTCCCAGCAGTTTGCATAATTGCATATTTACAGTCTCTGCCAGGACAGCCAGCTAAACCTGGAAAGTAGAGACCTCTGCCAAGACACGATAATGTCCCAATAGGGGAGATATAGTGTCTGGACCTGATCTCAGTCATAGCTGTAAATGTTCTTCCAAGAGAAACATACATGATCAATTCCTATGTCAAAAAATCACAAAAAACACACACATTGAACATGCATAATATCTACATTTAGCGGTATGGAATAGTAATGTTTTTTTTTTACCTTGTCCAAAGCCTACAGACAAAAGGGCAGACATCAGGAGGAGCTTTAATCCCAACATGACTTGCTTCTTAAATTCTTCTTAAATCTTCATCAGTTTGGACAGATGACCCCGTTGGTGCTGGTTCTACCTCTGCCTCTTCACACATGTACAGTTTGAGACTAAAGTGGAAGCTTTTTAAAAGTCTGAGGCTTTGAGAGTCCAGACCAATCCTGCCCCTCTCTGCTCTCCATTGGTCAGTGCACAAACATCTGTCCCCCATGCACGGAGCTCAAGTGAACAGTGGGGGATGAGGCTGACGGGTGTTACAGTGGTTTTGAATATAGGTACGCTGGGTTTTGTTTTAGAGTTAGAAGTATTTTTAAATTTGGGGCAAAAGCACTGATTTTTCTGGTTCTGGATGCTCATCAAGTTTTTAAAGTCCAGTATGTTTGTTGTAATTACATTGAATTTTTTTTTGATGCCCTGTGAATTTACTGTTCATTTATTTACCCTAAGTCAGAGATTTAAAAACTTTTTCTGCTGGGTCACCCTTTGGTATTTTTTTTTCTCTTCTTAAATCCTCCAGTTTTCTTTAAATCCACACTGTAGTGCAACAAGCTCTGCTCATTTGGCTCCCGCTCTAACTTCCACTCTGAACAACAGCTCTGATTGGTCAGAACATGGCCGAGCCCCTCTGTGCACGTGCATGAAAGCCACATACGCGTATTTGGAGCAAAGCATCATGGGAGCTCGTCCAATGCGCAGAACCAGGAGGACCGGATGATGCCCAAATATGGGAAAGTTCCGCTAATATTTCGGTCCCCATATGTTCCATGCACTACCGAGCACAGGCCATTGATTTGAGTAGGGCGCCATCTTGGATCTGACTGCAGGTCTTAGTGGTAACCAAATGTTCACATAGTGTCCGGCACAGTAGATATGTACAATAGGTTTGGCAAATATGGTGACCCCACTTCCATCACTGTGAGTGTGATGTCACATGTGAGAGCGGATTGCTGATGTCCTCCTTGTAGATCGAGTGGCCCATGATGGAATGGGATTATGGTTTGGGCGGCGTATGTTTTGGGCAAATCAAAAGTCAGATGAATTTTTATTATGAGATTGTTTATTTATTTATTTATTTATTTTTTATTTATTCATTTATTTCAGGCAATGGCACAGGTGGATCATGGCAAGATCCTGAGACCCACCGTTTTTTCAACTGCGGTGAAGTTAGTTTTATAATCGATAATTCACATATTCAACGAATTCGAATAATCAATTGAGCCCCTTGATCCTTTGACTTTTTGATTTCAAAACAGGTTGAGTGTATGCCTCGTCTTCCCACGCACATGAGCTGGGTTTTTCATTCATCCACATCCACCTCTAGACCAACGGTACTTTTATTGACACTTTTTCATAAAACACACAGAGAAACAGAACAACTAAAATAAAATATGGGTGAGAAACGGTGCAGTTGCAGATGTTAAGGACACCAGGGGAGAACAGGGCACTACAGGTGGAAACATATTTACCTTTTTTAAATGTCACATTTTATGTATATTTCCATGTGCTGTTGGTTGTGTTTCCTTTGACGTGTGATAACCTTTTGGCCAGGTCCCCTTTAACAAAGCAATTTCAATCTCAGTGGATGTTGTCCTGATAAATACTGTAAAGGTTAAACAAAATACAACTTAAATACAGCTGCACTGTGGGGGGCAAATTTCGGTTACGCCAGAAATGTACTGCTTTTAGAGGTTTCACAATAAAGGATCATATGTCTTTTCAAAAAATCTATCTTTATCTTTAAATAATACTAAGTACATTTTAATTGTTTAGTATTAAAAAAGTATGCGATTAACTTTTTGCATACTTTCACATACATATATATTGAATTTTATATATATTTTGTATTTGTAATAAGTCACCTTGAGATGTGTTTCCATACTGTGTGTAAGGTGCATTATAAAAAAAACTATTATTATTAGTATTATTATGAAGTTACATTAGCAAGATACACTTTTAGTTTCGAACAAGCAGTTTTAAACAAGCAGAAAAAAAGTGAAAACATCCATAGCCTGAACTTCTGCTGCCAGTAAAAGACTTCAGACACAAATAAATAGTTGTAGCCACTTCAACAATGCAAATGCAACTTATACTTAATTTATTGTATTGTATTATTAAATTAGTAACAGTAATCAAGAGAACAATATGACATACACACACATGCAGTAAAAAATAAACATACAAATATATTTTTCTCCAAATTCATAGCAATATTTTTTCTTGTGTCTCCCGTGAACATACAGTGCAGGCGCCTCTCTCCTCTAACACCTCACAACTCTATTTCCTCAAAAATGCACCAATCCAGTCCAATGACAGCGTTGGACCTCTCTCTGAGCACATGCACACGACCTGCAGGACCCGAGCATCTTCTGCTTTGATTTTGTAACTAACAGTTGCTGATTGCTGCGTGACTCGTTGCCAAATAGTGGAAGTGTCGTCATATGGCACAGAGCGGAGGAAAAGACCCTGGGTGGAAACGGTGCAGACGGTGCAGGCGCGGGACAAACTTATGAGGTGCAATGTCCTCAGACGCAATTAGATAACTGCACTTGTAAAAATAAGAATGTTGGGTTTGACCTCAAATGTCTTTTATTTTATTTCAACTAATTACGACCGATTAAGACAAACAATTATTGTCTGAGTGAGCGTAATGAACTGTGACAAACTGAGAACACAAGTTTTTTTTGTCTTTTGATTTTCTCTGTACTCTCACGCAGAGATTTGTCATCACATACAGTGTAGTATAGTGTAGTAGATATGATATATTTATATATGTTATGAGACGTGTGCATCATGAGCTGTAAATACACCAGAATGTATCTTTTGGAGCTAATTCCCATCTGTAGTCCCACAGTCACATTCACAAACACACACTCACTCAACCCTCACCTTTTGGACATGTTTTTAGTGGTATGGGAAACCGTAGCACCTGGAGGAAACCTACACAGATACAGGGAGAACACAAAAAGGCTGCGACTGGAGATGGAATCAATCCCAGGTTCTAACCACTTCACCATGCACGCACATATTTTACAAATATTTTCTTTCAACAAAAATATACCTGAAGTTGTTTTTAGCTCCAACCACGCTAAAATTAGTGACTTCTGGGAAAAAATAATCCTCTAATCTTTTCGGTCCAACGTCCAGTGTATCTATCTGTTGAACCGAGAAAGTCGAAAGGCGAATGGTGGTGGATTTGGTCCTCTGGCTGGACTGGACTGTCATGGTGTGGATTTTATTTTTGTACTTTTCACATCAGTTCTGTGGTTTTGTTGTGGTTGCACTTCCTGTCCTGTCCCCCTGTCTAGATTCTCCGCCCCTCCCTGATGTGTTTCACCTGTGCCTGTGTCTATTTGTACCTGTGCTCCTCTCCCCTTGTTGCTGATTCATTGTCAATGTCTGTTCTGTTCCGTCCTGTTCCTGGTTCCTTTGGATTTTTGAGTTTTGTTTTTACCTTTGGACTTTATCGTCGTCATGAAATCCTTATTTTTGCATTCCCGCTGGTTCCCCATCACCCAAAACATGCACCATTAAACATGAATCTGGTGAAAGCAGCGGTGGTCGGACGGCACAGATTAGCTGCCTTGAATATAGTGTGTAGCGCCATGAGATATTCCGGTAAAAAACCTTGTAGATAGATATACTTTTTTGATCCCATGTGAGAAATTTAGATGTCCAGTAGCAGAAATAGATCATTTTAAAAGTAGCTACCAATAGTAATACAATGCAGAAGTACTTTAGGTCACAGCAGCCGAGTTGGTGTATTATTATCACACCAAAATTAAGCAATTTTTCTTAAGATTCCATGTCTCTAAAGGCCATAGGCTTTTCCTGAACATAAAAAAACACAAAGCAAAGCTGCCGTGAAATGAGCTATTTTGAGCTTCGACAATCCTGAAAAGTCTGGTGATCCTGGCGGGACTGCTTTGTGCCGCTTTGTCTAACCCCACTTAATCTATACACCATATAGTTTTCCGTGTAAGGGAATCTCGCTGAGGATTTTACGACAAGTGCTGCTGCCAGTCATCGCCGTCGTCTATTGTGGTAGCGGAGGACTCTAAAACATATTAAGCTTCACGAGGACTAATAAATGACATTGACCGAGGCATTGACATGTCCTCCTCATGTTGACAGGGCTTGGACACGGATTACAGAATCGACACGTACTTTTAACGATGCTTTTCCCAGATTCAGTGCCATCATAGAAACCCGTCTGGACATTCTTTTGTGCTGACTGCTGCGCTGCACCCACTCACATGTGTAACTGCCTAGCTCTGTTAGTTTCTGAAGAAGCTCCTGCCTTCAGGTGTAAACACATACATGAGGTCAGTGTAAACAGAGCTGCAGTCTCCTTATGTCATCGAGGTAACACTCACGGATCACACTTTATGGCTTCCATTACTCACCAGATGCAGACCCATAAACGCACAACTGTCCATTTAGTGTTGTTTTTATTGGATTTTTATTTGATTCAATGATGCTGTGACTAGCGAACTGTAAAAGTGATGGAGGTTACGGTAGCTTGTTTTAGTTTTAAGTAAGTTAGTTTAAATATGTGCCATGGCCAGTGTTGGGTAGAAAACTTTGAAAATGTATTACGTTCCAGAATACTGAATGAAATACCTAAAATGTATTTTGTATAGTTTTCAGTTACTTTGGAAACAGTAGTACCTGTAATTCGAATACTGAGAATACTGTTAATTTTATACTTTCTGTATTATTTATATTTATTGTAAATGAATGTTTATTTACAAAACGCATAAAGGTAAATTTCAAAATATTTAAAACCACAATCGTAATTAATTTTTAAATAAATAAAACCTGTCCCGTAATTATTAAATAATTTGTTGTTTATTTTTGTGCTTCAACAGCTGCCATTTAACAACCAGAAAAAATAGAATCTTCACTTTGAGAATACCCATTGTTTTCTTTTCTCTTTTTTTACCTTACCTTAAAACGTAATGTGAGAAAGTATATATTCCCGTGAT